GTTTGGAGTAATGTACGTTTCTTAAGTGAGTCTTGTGTAAAAGCATGGCAGCATTCCCTCTCTAGTTGTAAAATTTGATCTGTTAGAGATTTTAGTCGTTCGATGTTTTTCTTCTTTTTATTTGCACAGTAAGAAATTATTTGACCTCTCAGGTAAGCCTTTAATGACTCCCAAACAGTGCTGAGCAGCATCCCAGGAGTACAATTAACATCAATAAAAAACTTAATTTCGGAAGCAAGCATATCAACTAAGTCTTCGTCAGATAAAADTRTCGGATTAAGTCGCCAAGGACGATAGACCGATTGCGTAACAGGAACGTTCAGTTTCATTATGAGCGGACTATGATCAGAAATGACTATCGCTCCATAATCACATTCACTCACTAAAGGTAAAATCTGTTTATCGAGGAGAAAGTAGTCAATCCGTGAATAGCTCTTATGAACAGGGTAAAAGAACAAATACCGTCTCAGGGTCGGATTACGAAAACGCCACACATCAACCACTCCAGGCCGATTTAGAAAGAGAGATCCTCCCCACTGTACTACAATCGAAGGATGATAGCACACAGTTCACATCTCCCCCAATTATGAGATTATGTGTTGAAATATTAGTTAAATTTGAAAAAAGCGTATTAAAAAATGTTTGGTCATCCCAATTTGGAGCATATACCGAGACTAAAATGACAGGAAGTGCATATAGTTTTCCCACCACAATAACATAACGTCCAGCAGCATCCGTTTTAACACTGGATGCCGTAAATTGCACCTGTTTACTAACTAAGATGGCTACCCCTCTCGATTTAGATTGGAAGTTAGACTGAAACACCTGACCAGACCAGCGCCTGCTTAAATTTGCAAATGGGTCTCCTGCAAAAAAGTAATATTAGCATCAAGTTGTCTTAAATGTGTCATAACTTTCCTAAATTTCATTGGACCATTGAGGGATTTCACATTCCAACTCACACAGTTTACTGGGTGACTGTTGATGAACCTGTTAATATTAGAACTGCTCATGTATGGTCAGTCGGACTGTACATATTTAGGGCCATATATCCACAAACCATCACAAAAAAATAACCTGAAAAAGACATTCTCAAAACAAACAGATCCGGTATAGTCCCACCCCTTTCTCCTAAAAACAAAACAAAACACGGCGAACCCAACAAACAAAAAATCCACACATTTGTGCTTATACTGGGGGACTTAACTCCCTGCCTGGACTCCTGCCATAACTAAATAATAGTAACAAAATAAAAAAGGGGTTCCCTTACTTTAAAATATTAATACTGTTTATGCTCCTTGCTGCACTGATAAATAAATCACTAACCAATATCTGGAAAGACCCCCTGTGAAGAGGAATATTGTCCCTGAGAATAAAGTCTAAAATTAAATCAAGATATAGTGTGGGACATAAAGTTGGAAGGTTCATTACAACCTGACAGTCATAATGGATCGATGAGGATTGGACCTGCGGTCAACGCCGGTCCTCGTTGTCCGTCGCCATGACGATCCTCCTCTTAATGTAGTCCATTGCTTTATTGGCATCTAGGAACTCCTTGTTTTCCTCCCCATGAGAGATGCGGAGCCGTGCAGGAAAAAGCAAGCCATAGCGAACATCTCGTCGGTTGTGAAGAAGCCTCTTCACCTCCGTAAATGCTGCTCGAGCCCTGGCCACAGCCGCAGTGTAGTCAGATGTGATGATGATCGGTGCCTCCTTAAAACGAAGATGGCCGCGGCTCCGCGCCCGACACAATATTTCCACACATTCTTGATAATAGTGCAGCTTAGCAACAATAACCAGCGACTTATCGCCTGACTTGTTCCCACCTGGAGAGCGATGTGCTCGGTCAACCAGTGGCTCTTTATCCATCTGTAGAACATCTGCTAGCAGTTTAGCCACTGCTGAAGTGGAGCTGGATTCTCGTGTCTCAGGAACTCCAATAATCCGCACATTGCACCTCCTCATGCGCCCTTCCATATCATCACACTTCTTTTTGAGCCCATCGACTTCTTCTTTCAGTTCCAAGATGGTGGTGCGTAGAGAAACCACCTCATCGGACCAGGTTGACAAGCCATCCTCCACCTCTTTTACGCTCTGCTTAAGGTGGTCCAGGTCAGCGTGTAGTAGCATTGTGCCGTTAGCCACTTCCGCTCTCACCGCTTGTAGCTCTCCTTTAATAAGAATAAACTCTTCAGCCAAAGCCGCTTTTATTTCGGATTTGATCACAGCTGAGAGATCGGTTTTTATAGCGGCAAGAATGTCAGACTTCAAGGAGAGTGCGTCCACCTCGCCGTGGGAGGGAGAAGGAGGAGATGAAAATCCGGTTTTAGCTGCAGTCTGCTCTGAGGCGGCGTCGGGCCTAACAGCCGCAGAGCTAGAATGTTTGCCTTTCCTCGAGTTTGTCGCCATTCTTCTACTCTTCCAGGCAAGAATCACTTAGGGGTCGAGTCCGGACAGACCAAATGCTCAAAACAGCAAGGACATTTAGTAGAGAACCACAAACAGAACAAGTCGGAGCGGGAGCCCACGCGACACACGTCTTACTCCTCCGCCATCTTGCCCCGCCCTTAGATATGGCACATTTTAACCAAAAACATGAACAATATGTTGCTCAGGCCTCCCTTGCAAAAGAGAACTATGATCTCAATGAGATTTGAAGGTTAAATAAAGGTTAGTTCAAAAAGTAAGACCTGCAGACGGACTGCTAAGAGAAGACTTTTGTGAAGGAGTGTCAAACATGTGCTTCAGAGATTTAAAACTGATCTAGGTAGCTTCTAACAGTTGGGAACAGGTGATTTCTGTTTGGTTATCATAGCTAAAATAATGAAGTTTGGACTGCTTGAATGACATCTGTGTAAACCTTTTGCTAAAGGGTGAAAAATGTGTCAATCTAATGAGAAAGGGTTAACACATTTACAAAAGGTGACTTGTACTCTGCTGAGAATGTGATGACAAAAACTGAATGGCTCCCAGTTTCACTAAGTAGGTCAAATCAGTCAAGAAAAACTGTAACACAGTCCTGAGGCATCATCAAGGCCTTTATCTAGGATGCCAACACACAGTGGAACCCTTATTAGATAG